GCGGGGAGCGCACCCACGTACCTGCTCACTGGATACGGCCGTGAGTGCTAAAGGAGGGAAAAGCAGCTGGCGCGGCCCATACGGGGGTGCCCAGAGTACAGGTTGGCCCCTATGGGGACAGTGCAGGGAGACTGGCGGCCCCAGCACCTCCTGCCTCGCAGGTGCCCAGCTCTGTCCCCGTCGCTGCTGCGTCCCACCTGCACAACAAGGAGAAGGATTTTGGCAAGGGAGATTTTGGCTCTTGTAGCTGCTGCGGAGGAGGACGGTGCTGGGGCCGGGCCCTGGCAGGTAGCACCCACAAGCAGCCGCAATGGTGACACAAGGTGGTGACCACCCTCCAGGTGACAGCGAGGGCCTCCTGCCCATCGCTGTGCAAGGCTAAGGGACACGACACCGCTACCACTGACCCAGCCAGGACGGCCCTGGCTGCAGCACAGGCACCGGGCACCTGCAGGACACTTGAGCGGCAGCTCGAGGAGCGGCTCCAAGAATGCGAGTGGTGCAGCCGCAATGGTGACACAAGGTGGTGACCACCCTCCAGGTGACAGCGAGGGCCTCCTGCCCATCGCTGTGCAAGGCTAAGGGACACGACACCGCTACCACTGACCCAGCCAGGACGGCCCTGGCTGCAGCACAGGCACCGGGCACCTGCAGGACACTTGAGCGGCAGCTCGAGGAGCGGCTCCAAGAATGCGAGTGGTTTCGAGGAGCGCGGGGGCTGCCTCCCTGTGCTCTCAGACCGGCCGAGCTGCTTGGGGCCTTTCTCGGAGCTTTTTAAAGATGCTAAGAGCTGCCCAGAGCTGTTCAGGGGCCCACCAGGGCCACCTCAAGGTGACAACCAAGCAGTTCAGAAGTTTGGAGAAGTGTTAGAGCTGCTCAGAGTTGTTTGCAGGAGTTTTGGGGTCGCTTAGAGCTGTTTGCTCAGAGAACTTCAGAGGACTTATAGGGTTTTCTAGGGTATTTTGAGAGGTTTAGAGAAGTTCTTAGAGGATGCCCAGGGCAGTTGGAGTGCCTTAAAGCACCTCAGACCTGTTGAAGAGTATTTAAAGGCATTTTACAGGCGGTACAGAAGAATTTTAAGCTGTCATAGAGGAGGGTTAGAGATGTTTTAGAGCTGCTCAGACCTTTCCGATGCCATTTAGAGGAATTGTAGAGGGGCTTGGAGCTGTCCGGAATTGTTTAGAGATGTGACAGAAAAGTTTTCGTGCTACAGAGAAGAATATTAGAATGGTTTGGAAGAATTTTTGAGGCCTTTTAGAGGGCTTTCAGAATACTCTAAGAGCTTTCAGAATACCCTAAGTATGCCTTAGAGCCCATTAAAGACAGTTCACAGCCATTCACAGGAATTTTAGAGCAGTTTACACCGTCACAAGATTTTTTGGGATCCCTTTTGAGCAATTTCAGGACTTCTGAAAGAGCTTAAGAGTTTAAGGGCTACTTCAGGCAGCTCCAGCAGTCAGAACTTCTTGGTGCCCTTCAGAGCAGGTTAGAGAATTCAGACTCATTTGAGCAGTTCAAATGCTTTAAAGCTGTCCCAAGACCCTGCTAGAACTTTGGAGTCGCTTCAGAACTTTTCAGAAGACTTTTTCAAGATTTTTGGAGCTGTTCTGAAGTTTTAGAACATGTTAGAGCCCTTTAGAGCTCTGTAGCCATCCTGCAGACAAGCAAGATGCTCTGGAGCTGCTCAGAGGAGGCTTAGCACTGCTCAAGAGAGTTAAGAGCAGCATAATCTGGTCTGAAATAATTTTGGCTATTTTGGAGTACTTGGAACAGCTTAGAGTGGTTTAGAGGCCTTTTACAGCCTTCAGAGGCTTTGGAGCTCCTTGGAGGGATTTTAGGGCACCGTAGAACTAGTTTGGACTCTGCAGTTGCTTAGAGGGCGAGAGGAGGCCAGAGGAGGGGGGCAGCACTGGCACCGGCGTTTGGGGCGGTTTGGGTCTTCCTGGAGCGCTTCAGCAGCAGCCCGCAGCGCCGCAGAGCGCCGCAGAATGTTCAGTGGATATGCAAAAGTGCATAAAAGAGGTTTCAGCTAAGGGAAAGCCCTCTGTCCTTACCTGGAGCGTATGGAAAGGAGTCCCAGGAGGAGCCGAGCAGCAGCCAGGCCCGGGTAGCAGCTCCCCCCGCTCCCTCCCGGGAAGCCGGATGCTGCCAGCTCCAATGGTCCCTGGCTCCTAACCCCACTCGAGCCCTCCCTGGAAAGCACAGGGCAAATCCTGCCCGGGTGCAGCCCCCTCCCCAGCCCCTTCCCCACCTCCATCCAGCCCGGTCTCATCCAGCCCTCCCAGCACTCAGAGCCACTCCGGAGCAAAGCAGGAATCTCTGGGCAGGAATCGTAACAGCTTTTAATCTGACAAGAATCGATACATCATTTCAGACAACACTGTTTTTTCCTCTTGGTTGGGACTTCCTTCACATACCAAAAAAAGAGGAACGCTTTCGGGAAGTACAGTTTTTTTCTCCATAGGGACTTTAAAGCATGGTGAATGTGCAAGTCAGTGCTTTGTTTGCTTAAAACTTTTTCCCGGTGCTTATTTACAGTTACAGTACCTCTTTGTGAGCGACAGGAAAAAAGACGATTGTTTTAACTGGGGATCCACGACCCCGAGTTGAGAAAGGCAAATCTCCAATATTTATATATTTATACATATATATATATATATGCTTTTGTGTATACACAGATACATTTCTCTCTTCTTTAAAGTATTAAAAAAGATCAACCTTCATTCTATAAAAATACCTACTCTACAAGATAGAAAAATTTCCCTCTCCAAGTATACACTGATTTACACCCAAAGCTTCTCTGGAAATGTACATTACGTGGCTTCGTCCCGCGGACTCT